GGTATGCCAGCCACATGAAGACGCGGGTGACCAAGGCGGTGCTGCTTGGCATCTGGCTGGGCGTGCGCACCTTCGCCCTCCTGCCCATCGCCGGCCTGGGCCAGTACACACTGCAGTGGCCCGGCACCTGGTGCTTCATCAGCACCAGTGACAGCCAGTTCACCGGGAGCCGCCTCTTCGCCTCCACCTTTGCCGTCCTGGGGCTCCTCTCCCTCATGGTGACAGTGGTGTGCAACTTGGCCACCATCGAGGCATTGGTGTCTCGTTGTCGGACCAAAGTGACTGCATCGCGCTCCAGCAAGCAGTGGGGGCGAATCGCCATGGAGACACTGATCCAGCTCTTGGGGATCATGTGTGTCCTCTCGGCCTGCTGGTCACCGCTGCTGGTAGGTCGCCTTGCTGCCCGTGCTCCCTCAGGGCAGGAGGCAGGGTGGACCGAGAGCCACCAGCCTGGGCAGGGTGGGAGGCACCGGCAGTTCAGGTTCCTCATGGACAGTATGGCTGTGCATGGTCTCTGAGGAAAGCAAGCGGGGACAGGGACAGAGCCTGGTGTGGAAAGCTGGTAGGAGAGGTCCAAGAAGGAAGCTGGGAGAGGTCCAAGAGGATAGCCAAAGTGCTGCGTACTTAGAAAAATAAGGCAAAGGAACTGAAGTCAAGAGGAGGGACCTTGGGGAATACAAGGGTCTTGTACAGAGGAGAAAGGCAGGACATGTGGAGCCTGTGGGTCTGGGAGCAGGACACTGAAGTCGGCAGTGCTCATGGCACAGAGCCACAGGTATTGGGCAAGCACCAGGCAGATTTGGGGAGGGGGGAGCAGCTGGTGCTGGCGGTGGGCCCAGAGGCAAGGAAGGGCACGCTGTGCTCCTGCCCGGCGCAGCCTGACCAGCACATTGTGCCTACTCGATAGCACCATAGGTGTCTGAAGGTGATGTGACAAGGGGAACCAGAATCTGCCTGTTCCTCGTTTAGGGGAACCTGTGAGGAAGTGTATTGAGACCTTACTGTGGTGGAGCCCTGTGCTCATGGGAAACAACCATTTATGATTTTTTATTTGCTCCCACCTTGTAGCAAAACTTCAGTGCTTTATGAGAAAAGGTACGACTTCTGACTTTGCCAGTGCCTTCTGGTTTTCGGCAGATTGCTCACTGTATCTTATTTACGGCAACATTCTGGGCTTTTTGTTTCTGTTTTTAAAGGACTCTTGAATTTCTTTCCAGTATTTTGTCATTCCTCACTTATACCCGTTCTTTCTTGTCAGGCTGGGTTAAACCCCTCCTCATGATTTAGGAGTGGAGGAGGCTGAATCCACAGCTCCTTCTGCCATGTGGGACAAGGGCACACCCAGGAGTCCAGTACCCCATCTAAAAAGGCCAGCTTATTCTGCTGTCAGAAGATAGTATGATTTTTGGGAAGTTTCTACTTCGGATCTGTAAGCAGGAAAGAACTGAAGCTAGCTACAGTAATTTTGAAATTATGTGAAAGGTACATTATGGCGGGAGAAGGATTTTTCTTCTTTCCTGTGCACAGACAACTTGAGGTAAATGGGGCTGTGACAAGAGGAATGGCTGACAAAGCTAACAGCCAGTGGGGATAAGGTGAAAATAGAAAACAAATTCATTTAATTAAGCAATGTTATCCATGTAAATTAATTACCAAATCTCCAAAATAACCCCACCCCAAAGTTAAGTCAGAGGCTGTAAGTTAACTTTCTAGAGATCATTAACAGCTTGTGACAAAAGTAAAATATGAAACCACGATGAAAATTTAGTGAGAACTTGAGAGCAAAGAACAATGTTCTGCTCCTCAAGCCCCAAGGAACGTTAGATTTGATAAGGTAAACCAGGAGACTGCCCGGTCTTTCTGTGTCTCCATGCATTGGTTGCCTGCAGCCCCAGACACCTTGGCTAGCCATTAACATTGCTGTGGCACGTCCTGCTGTCCTGCTGACGTGGGCAGTTAAGTCCCAAGGGGAGACACTAGAATTTCTTTATTTTACAGAAGTTAACCATTGCATGCTTGTCCATCATTAAACAAATGAAAAAATTAGAAGGAATTTATTAAATGAAGGAAGCACATTTGCCTCAGCCCTTGCTTTTGTAGCCTTCCCGTTGGGACGCAGGTTCTACCCTGCCCTCTGCAGCCAAAGCAGCAGGACCCATGCTGCTCCCTCAACCAGCCTGGGGGCCGTGGAGCTATTGCACCTGAGCGTTCAACCATCCTTGTGGCATCAAGAGAAAATCCCTGACATGAGGGACACTTTTTTTTTTCTTCCTTCAGAACCTGAGTACTCAGAAAAATCAGTGAGGATGCAGGGATTCCTCTTGGTGTTTTGCTTCCCATGGCATTTTTTCAGACTTAACAGTCAGAAGTTAAACCAATAAAGCTGCCCTGGCTCTACTGAATGGATCTGTGGGAAGCGTTAATGGGATGAGTTAATGGAGCAGAGCCCAGGTCAGAGAGCCTGTTGTAAACAAGGCTGACACCTCCACAAAATGCTCGGCGAGCTGGTAAGAGAGTAGGGCTTCTCTGAGGTTCGGTCACAGAAGGTGAACTGACACCCTGGCGAGGAGCCTGCCTGACACTCTTGAGCAGGGCCAGTTGAAGAGATACCGTTTGGCAATGCTTTGCATGTGTTTTACAGCCGTGGGGAAGACTGCTGCCCCACTGGGTGACACGGCTGTAATCCAGAGTGAATTTGCCAACAGTGCACTTCCCTGGTGCAGCAGCAACACTTGAAAGCATGTAACTTGTTCTGCAGAGTTCTGCAAAACTTCCCTGTCTAGTCAGCGTATGCTCCAGTCTTCGTATTCTCAAAATCAAGAGTCATGACTACTGAAGTGTATTTATACAGAAAGCATTGAAGTTTATGTACAACTACAAAGTACAGATGAGGAATAAGAGGCCAGATTTTTGGAAGACTGACCATGGAGTAACGTGAGTGCATTTTCAGGGAAAGCCAGACTGTAAAACTCACTTAACCTGTAGGCGCATCATTTAGCGGTTGTAAGAAATTTAGTTGAAACAGGAATCCAGGGATTTTCAGAGGAGATTTTCAGTTTTTTAAAAAAAGAAATCTGAGTTTTATAACTGAGAACTAATGGCTTCTGGCAACTATTACTATTAGATAAACAGTGCCCTTTTACACAGACAGTATTTTTAGACTTGATCTGTTGATGAAAATGACAAAGTGAAATGTGCTTTAACAAAAAAGTGAAACATAATTATGGTGGCTATGCTCTAAACGGCTTAACGAATCATCCTGCCTTTTCCTAATTTATGCTGGATTTGGTGGGAGAGAGGAAGTGCATACATAATGCAGGTATTGTCTCCTTTTGTTGTGTACTCAGGATGTTACCTGAATTCAGCATGGAGAACCTGGGAAAACGCTCCACTTAAATAAGTTACTGCTTTATCGTAAGTGGTTTCCAGTTCACGCTAGCCTTCTGTTTATTTTGGTGCTCATCTGTGGAGCATAACCATTGACCTAAACCGACAGCAGATCGAAATGAGTCTGAGCTAAAATAGAGGAAGCTATTCCTTGTTTGCACAGAAACACCAGTGCAGCGCAAACTGGACTTCTCATATTTCTTTTAGAGCTCCAGGCTACAAAATTATTCACTCACAGAGTTGTTTTAAGGCTACGTAAAGCCAAAATGCTCAGTTGTTCTGCTGCTTTTCCTATTAAAATACTTCTTCTCCTTAACCCTCCTGTCAGACAGAAATTAAGTACATTGTCCTTTACAGGCATTTTCATTAAAAATATGTTATCTTGTAATATTTTTAGATGTACAAACATAGTTATGGAAAGCACCTTCGCTTTGAGAGACAAAAGACAGTGATACCACTGAGCTGCAAGGAAAATAGATGGCTTCTTTTCTATGAATCAATAACTCTTAGTGCTAGTGCTCCGCTTCCATCTGAGGCTGAAATCACCACCTATTTCAAAACCGTCCCAGCATACTGACCATTGCGGTTTGGCCATGCTGGCAGGGAAGGCCTGTGGACCTCCTACAGCCAAAAAACTGCATTTTGCTGGACTGTATTTCTCTAGGTAAGGTCACAACCAAGTGGTACAAATTAGACCATGTTTGTTGGAAGCCGGCTAGATTCTGACAGGACCTGTCACAATTCCCTGCATCGTTATCCTTCTGTAAACATGTTCTTATTAAAATCCTCAGCCTTCTCCAGGAATTGTCCAAGAGGACTGCAAATGATTTCACTGTCGTACGTTTCTCAGAAACAGAGAAGTAACTTGCTCGAGGTTGCTCTGCTGGTGAGCGCCCTGAGGGGCGGCGGAGGAGAGGGCACTGCACGCAGTGCTGCCTGCGCACGCGCCAGGTACGCCGTGCTGCCGTGCAGAAAGGAGCGTGGCCTTGATGCGGAGCAGGTTCTGAGAAGCAGTTCTTCCCAGGACGTATTGATCACGTCTGTGGTCCATGCACACCAGGAGGTGTTGCGTTGCCCTGCTGCAAGAAGGTTGCTAATAAAGACGGATCGTCAGGTGCCATATAATTTAGATCCTTCCTGGATTACTGTCAATCTGATGGATGAGCAGCTACAGTGAGGGGGTGAACCAAGGTTAAGGTGGTGTGGATCCCAAACGTACCCCTCTGTAGTCTAGTTGGCTGGACTTGCCTTAGCTTTGCCTGCGACAGGTGGTATTTCTACTTTAACAAAGAAATCCACATCCATGCTAGGCAATGGGTAGTTCTCCTTCAGAGGTCCACAAGCAGAGTCTGTAATGGCATTTGGCCTGCTTGAACTGAAGTCTTTCATTCTGCCTCAGCTTCAACCGAGGTGGCAGAAAAAAGTCCTAAAAATTTAATGAGACCAAATTACAATTTTGATTTTAAAACAAGATGGTACATGACTATAGGTATTCTTAGTCATTACAAGGAAAAATCATATCCTCTCCATCGTGGCTTTCTGTGGTTCACGTGCCACAGCCACTGTTTGTATTTCATCACGAGAATCCCCTGTTCCTTCTATGGCTCACTTCTTTATGTGTGAGAGAATTGTTTAAGCAATAGATTAGGGCTAATGGGAGAGGAGAAGCAGCATGAGAGGATGAATCCTCCTGTCTTCATGGTGCATAGAAAACATGATTGGTTTTTTGGAAGCTATCTCAAGAAAAGATTTTGCAGTCTGGGACCAGGAATTTCTCATCAGATTCTGACCCTATGTTCTAGACTAGTTACTCAGCTCTTGCTTGGCTGAAAAATATGCATCTTCAAGCACATCAACTTTTTATTCTCTATCTTTCACTGCACATAGCAGCAGTTTCCAACATAGTTTGTCAAACTGGAAAAGTATCTTTGGAAAAGTTTTTGTCTCTTTTTTTTTTTTCCCCCACCTGACTACAATGGGAGCTCATTCTGAACTCTTTGCAATATAATAGTAAGCTGCCTGGGAGTCCCTCAGGTACCACAGGCTGCTCACATAAAGTTATGCTGGTGGCAATATATCACAGTGATGCTTGCCAGCTGGGGAGCCTATGAAACAACCCTGAAGAGTTCTTGTGTACTATAATCCAACTTTATTCAAAGCACTGTAAAGACATCTCACAAAACGTATCTTGTCTTTGGTTGTAAGTTTGAAAACAGGAGCAGTGGAGATTTAATGTTATAAAACTGCATTCAGTGATAACAGGGAAGTTTTATCTACTCTAATTGAATAAAGACAATTATGAACTATATTACTGTATGCATTTTGAGCCAAATTTCTCATTATTGTGTAGTTCCATTGACTTTATTCCGCCTGATGTTGTTCCTCTACCTTTTCTTTTAATTCATTTAGAAGACCAGTACAGGCCGTGATAAACAGCCTCTGAGGATATCAAACAAATAAGATTTCCAACAGAGCAATTGTTGGTCCAAAAAACATTCCAGTAAAGGAATATTATGTAATAAAAACAAAAACAAGCGGCAGTTGTCTGCCTTGGAAATGTATTTTATTAGCCTGATATTTTTGTAGCTCCATGGGTTCACTAACAAAAGAACAAGACAACAAAGTCTGCAACACAAGGGTCATTGCAGAGCTCCCAAAGGAAGTGCTGGAAGAGCTGATCTGGGAGAAAGAAATCAGAATACTGGAAATGAGAAATGCGGTGTGGTTCCCACTGGCTAGTGTGATGTCCTGTAATGCCGGCACAGCGTATTCACATAGTACTGCTACTCTTTACAGCATGGTAATGCTGCCTTCCCCGTCAAGAGGTAGGTTGTGCTGGACTCCGGTGGGCATAGGAGGCAGATGCTGCAGGTACCATAATCCAAGCTGTGACAGTGGCAGTGTCCTAAACAGCCGGAGGTGGCAGAGGAAGTGGTAGGGTTGTGGTTGTGTGGGTCTGTTGCACAAGTGGCCTTTCAATGTGGTCTGGATCTGCATCTATCTGTATTTTTAAAAAGCTCTACCAGTGGTTACTTATTTTCATTTTTATTTAAATTAAATGTAGTAGATGGAATCCTCAACGGCTTCTATTTAAAGAAACAAAAACAATTCTACTTTGCTGTCCGAGCTGCCCTGCCTTCCGGACTCATCCAAGTCTTTCCAAGGTCAACACATGGTTATTGATCTGGCACCCAGAATATCGCTTTGAATGGAAAAATCCTCCCCCGTAGTCTCTGTGTGGTCACTCTTGCTCTGACTGTCCCAATTTATGGGGACAGCAGCAGTCCAGACGTGACCTTTCTGGGTGACACTCCACTCTGAAGACAGCCTTCTATGGGAAAACCTTTTGCTGGGATCACTTGGCTTGTGCTGCTGCTGGTGCGGATTGTCTTGGTTCTTTCGAAAGGCTGAAGTCAAGAAGTTGGACAGGGCTGTGAATAATTGACTGAGATTCTCGTCCCTCGGGCTGTTCCCTGTGTTTTCAGAACTGGCTGCCAGTTTGTTTAGTGTGTGGTACCACTGACCTTTGCAAAGGCAGTGAATTGGATGTGCATCAGAGCCATTGTGCATAGGTATCCATCTCCTTGACATACACAGTAAGCACATCAAAATGTACGGACCTACTGCATCTCAGTTCTGCTGGATTTGCAGATACTAAATTCAGACAGTCATGGTCTTCAAGTCATGCCCAGAAGAAATTTGCAAGCCAAAAGGCCGGACCTGTCCAGGAGAAGTTGGGTGTTCAGAAGCCCTGTCCTCGGAGTGCAGACTGTAGCACGCGTGCCCTACGCCTAACTTCCCAAGTGTCAGGTCACTTCGCGCTTCCACGCTTCAGCCCGTGGTAGGAGCTGGTACCCAGGGGCAAGGCCTGCTTGCAGTTACCTGATGTGCATTATGAAGCATCCTCACATCAGCTCTGCCTTTTTTTTCTTGCTCTAAAGCACCTGAGAGCTGCGTTGTGCATCACAGCCAGGTGTAAGAACACAGGTATTTTCCCACTGTAGAGCTGACACGCACGTCATTTGGCAGCGAGTTGCGTGGCAAGTGCCTGCTCAGGAGACGTTTTGATCCCTGTGTTTACGGGCTCCTGGAAAAAACATTGCAATACAAAATCTAATGTAGCTTATCTGTAGAGAAGCAACTAAAAGCCTCTAAAGTGATATATATTTAAGCAGCTGTAGTTGGTATAGAAAGCTCTGGAGAAAACTTTAGACAACAGATACTGACTAAACGATGGAAAATTATATCTGTCTGACATCTTTCAGAATGTGATTCATATTTCCCATGGTTATATATTAGTATATGAGAGCATCACAACACCAGCTCTGGTGAGCTCTCTCACCAGCCTTAAGAAACAAAACAAACCAAAAAAAGCTGCTCACTGTTTTTACCTGCATAAGCAGCAGCTGGATAACAAAAACAGTGCTTCTGTGGCTGGAGCGCTGCCCTGGAGATCCCAAGCTGGGTTCTTTTCCAGTCACAGGTTTTCTGTGCAGCCTGTAGCAGCCTTTGGCAGTCTCCTGCCTTTCTAGTCTGTAACATGAGAATAAAGGTGTCCTTGTGTTTCAAGGCTCATGGCATTGATAGCTGTGAAGCAAGTTTATGTCTTAATGTGGAAAATGAAAACATACAAAAGTATTGTTATTTTAATTGATTGAATCATTATAGCGCAGTCTTCAGTTTAGAAGTCTTTTAAAGATTGTAAGCCTTGTAGCAACCTGTAAGAAAAATGGATCCACCCTGCTACCTGTACGGTACCAACAGCACATGTCTTCACTGAGACTTTGAAATACAAGTGATAAAATTACCTTAAAGCACAGATTTTGGGGTGGAGGTATTAATCAAAGCTGCCTCTTCTTTGGCTTTTCTGAATTCACGAGTGCCTATCACTGACCAGTGCTTATGTTTGACATGTGCCATCCACCTACTACCCATGGCAGGACCCTGATAGCCCTATGCTGTCTAACTGGTATTGCAAATCAAGATGCCTGATGGCATTTAATCCCCCCAAAATCAACCTGCATGTAGCTTTTGGCTCCCAGGCCAGAGCTTGCTGATCTGTGCTGTGAGGTATGGGAGACATCAGTTATGGAAACTTCTGCTTGTGTGGAACATTTTATGGTGTAAATAGTGTCTTTTGGTCATGCCAGTTCAGATGCTGTGGGAAACAGATTCCTAAATATATCACTCTCTTTGCTGGGGGAGCTGAACTGAGGGGGGAAAGGAGGAGAGACAGGTCAGGTTAATCCAAAATGCAGTCTGTGGCTTTTGACAAAAGAAAAAGATTTTTTTTCTGTTGACTTCAAATGTTTTCTTGACTCCTAGCCCAAAACACCTTTATTAACCCTTTTCTTTTAATTTGGCTCAGTTCATAAGCAGAATAGTTTACCTTAAAATTAAATTCTAAAATTTAGAAGTCATAGAGTAAAACAACTTCGCTTTAAAAAAAAGAAGACATTTTATATTTGAAGTTCTTTTTTCTGACATTTACTGTTCGTAACATAATTTTGAGGAGCTCTACTCATCATGAGTTATTCAGCTGTTCCTTGTAATTGTGGTAATATGATAATGATAAAACAAGTTCCTTTAAGTTAATTTTGCAAGGTCAGTAATTTCCCTTTCTAGCCAAGGCCATCTTGAACCTCTAGGATTTAGCATACAGATTTCTGTTGTATCTCAAGCAGGGAAGCAGCATGTGCTGCCTTGTTTTAGCATGAGATCTATAAATAAATCTGACTGATAGCTGAAGGGTATCATTTTTTTCACTCATTTTACACACAAATACAAACTGAGCTGCTCTCGCAACGCTTATTTGTTCTGATCACAGTTTGAATTGGACAAGGAAGGAAAAAAAATTATTGACAGGATTTTGTCTTTAGGGATGTTCGCATGTCATGATAGACAGGTAACACTCCCTTAACATACATCACTTTTTCTTCCTCACTTTCCTTAGATAACGATGTTGAAGATCATCTTCAGCCGCACATCGTTTGAACACTGCAAGGAATTCTCCAGTGAAGCCCAAAGCTCAGAACTGCACAAGGAATGCAATTTCTTCCTGACAGCTGTGCGTTTGGCCTCGCTAAACCAGATACTGGATCCGTGGGTTTACTTGCTTCTCAGAAAGATCCTCCTCCAGAAGTTCTGTCAAGCAGCCAACGCTGTCTCCAAGTGCTCTAACAATGAGTGCAAAGAGAGATCAATCACCTTGTCAGAGGAAATCCGACGGACAGCGGCATGAAGGAACATTGATCCATTTGCATGGAAAAACTACTTTTGACAACAAGTAGTTTTAAATCTTACTGTGAATTGGGGTATCTGTAACATGTTAGCATCTGCATAAATAGCTGAAAATGGTATTACTGAGTGGGCCTATAGTGCCAAATAATTATTTATCCAATGTGCCAAAAATTCTCACATACAGAAGAAGGAATTGGTTTTGTTTCTACATTCTGTTGTTATTGCCATTCATAAATGAGCTGCAGAACATGAAGTTTTGTGTGCCTAATATAGAGTTTGGAGGGAATTTTCTTGTAAGGTAGAAAAAATGGTTTTCCCATCAGGGGAGACTTGGAAGAGATTCAACAGATTAAATTACTGGAGACACCCACTCCTATATATATTTTAATACTAAGATTATCTACTTCAGAGAGTCCTTCTTCCTCCTTTTTTCTGGAGGGACAAGGGCAGGAAGGGGCAAAAAATATAAGAATTAAAGGAAGACAAAACTAGGAGACTTTATTTGGATTCCAGTGGCTTAAAACTGAAAAGGTTGTGCTGTACCAGTGACGGTACGTCATTCTCTTTCAAGAACTGAAGGTAGCACAAGTGTCATGACACATGGATTTGTCCTGATAAAAACTCATTCTGCGTGGATGGTAAAGGAAGCTTATCTGCTGAAGAGGATGTAGCATTGGGACAAATAGCACAAGTGAGAAATCTGTGGTTTGGGTTTTTTCTTTTTAAAAATAGCAGCCTGTGAAATACCCAGGCATAACAAGAATTGCTGTTGGCAAAGCACACTATAAAACTACTTTGAGCAGATGGAGAGAGTGATAAACAGGCTGTAAGAGACCGTAAATGTTCTTCTTCCTGTAGATCAATGGCAAAGGTTTACAAAGCCAAAAATACTGCTTTCATATGAGTTGTTTTAGTTGGAAATGCACATTTTCAGGAAAAAAATGAACATCAAATGTTTTTTAAGTAATGGGGATGCCATTCAAAACTTCTTCATTACTAATATGTCCTGCGAAGTGCCCAAAATAGTACCCCAAAATAGTTTACTTCTTCTTTCCTCCAAAAAGACAAATTTGAGAGATACGGCAGCTTTGGATTTTTTTTTTAAATAAAGCGGACTGGAAGAGGTGGGTAGAAGTGTGTGCATTAGTCAGATCTTTCCCCCAGGTACCTTCCAGGTTTTATTGGAAAACTGAGTTCCAATCCATTTGTGCCACATCTGACGTTTATCTTTACAAGGGCTACGTTTTCTCCTCGTTTTCTTCACCCTTTTTTAGATGATAGCCTCTAATGTCTCCTGTTTCATGGCCTCTTGGGTGAAATTAAATGCAAATACAATAAAATACAATAATATATCATATAGTTGTACACCATATACTATGTGCCACATAGTATCGAATTCAGGGGCCTTAAAGGCAGATGTGTTCCTGCATCTGCTAGGAATTTCTTGCACAGAACCTTTATTTTTACTTCTCTTCCTTTGTTTATAAAAGTTACTACTCAAAAGGGAAACTGGCTACTCACTTTTCTTCTTCTGCTACTGTGTTGTCTAATTGCTTATCTTCGTATCAGTCAAACAAAAATAATTAATCTAACAGCAGAAGCCACTGTCTACATAAATCTACGTTTATCTGGGTGGAGTTTAAGTGCAACCTAGAAGCTAATGCCTTATCTTAATTCAAGAGCCAGCCTAAAACCACAGAGAGGCATGTTCTGTAAGGTACTGCCCTTCTTTTGTCAGTCTCATCATCTTCTTCAATTTAATGCAACAAATTGCTTTTTCAGTTACAAGTTGACTGCATCCTTCAGGCTGTGGGACCCCACGCTCGGAGCCGCCTGGCCCCAGCGAGCTGCTGCAGTGTGTGTGAGCCGGTGTTGAGCCTAACGACTACACGTGCCCGTGCGTCGGCGGTGCTGCTAGCCCCAGTTCATTTACTAATCGGCACTTTGGGGAACACGGTGAAATAAGAGCATTACTCGTTCTCTTTGAAAAAGTGCCTTGCAGGATTCATACTTCTTTTAAAAAAAATTATTTTGCAACATAAAAAGCCTGTTCTTCTGTCCAGAGGATTGGTATTGTTCAGTTCACGTACATTAGCTTTTTAAAACAAACAAACAAACCTGGTCGCTTGTAAAATATGTCAGGATGACCTTAACAATTAGACTGAATCATTCATTGTCAAGAAATTTCTGAGCAGCAGCACTTGCGGAGCATAGAGACGACTCTGGGATCCTAAGTGGGATAGCCAGGGAGAAGTTCTGCAAGGAAGAGTGAGTCAATCCCGCTTTTATCAGCTCTTTCATAGCGGCAAGAGGAGAATGCAGGTTTTTCCTGTACGCAATCAATCAAATACCTGGTAAGGAGAGAACAGCTCAATCGTGACATTGCCTTAAGCAGGCCCCGTGTTCAGTTCTCTGGATGTGGGCTCGTTCTTAAGTGTCAGGGGTGATTTCACTTTAGTTCGCTTAAAATAATTTTGTTACGCCACGCCTTTTCTTAGTGAAATAGGACACTTATATTTGGAAAAAGGCAGTTCTGTCCTTCTTTGGGTGTGGTAATATGAAGAAACTATTTTAAATACCGGAAAATGGGAAAGAACGTCTGCTTTTAATTTGTTTACAGAAAAGGAGTTTAAGCACTATTTGCCAGCCATGGCTGCCGTAACGGGACATGGCTGAAGGAACGCACTTTTAAAAATGAATTCAAAGAGTTTAGTGTAAATTAAAGCTTTTTTTTTCCCATTTACATGTTTGAGCAGTCTATTTTTATTGCATTTCTTTAAAGATGCCTTTTGTGTGATGTATTTAAATTCCACTATAGTAGTATTTCCAATACTGGTTTTAATATGTCGTACTTCTGTCAAAGATGTTATGGAAACTGTGGTGTATGGAAAGATGATGTTGAGATCGTTGTTTGCCTTAAAAACTAGCTCATTTGTGTACCCAATCAATGTGTGTTGTATCAGTCAGAATAAAAGTTCGGCAGAGTTACCCGTCTCCGTTCCCTTGATCCCTCTTTCCTGGGACGCAGCGGCGCAACAATTTCGAACGGCATGTGCAGAGCTGCAGGTGGAAGCGCAGCCCCTGGCCCCCAGCTGTGACCGCTGGCTGAGCAGATCCCTCCTAGCCAGCGGAGCCGCAGGGTGCTTGCCCACCCTCCTGCCTGCTGCCCGCTCCGGGGGGGGCTGCGCACAAAGCGGCAGGGGGTGGCAGGGAGTGGCCCAGCCTAACCTGTGAAGCACTGCTCGGTAGCATGCACGGTTAAGTGACTTCTGCACAAGCACCACCTGCTGATGCAACGCAACAGGTCTTGACAGGTTTACATAGATCAGATCTTATCTGCACAGTCTTCCAGCTCGTGACCTTCGCCTGTGGGAACCCTGCTGCACCGCTCAGGGAGGCTAGCTCCGTTCCCTGCCTCAGTACAGGCTTTGCCGTATGCCGAGCCCCTCTCGCCAAGGGCGTTCCCACATTTTTTTTACATCATTTACTATTATTTTACTTTGATTGTTTTGCATTTTGTAATTTTAACACAACCTTTTTGAGCTTCTAAAAGCAGATTTATACAGATGAGCAGCGACTCCACTCATGCTGGAAGCATCGTTAGGACGGGCAAACCCAACCTACCACCACAACAGAGTTTGGTGTGCTCCTCCGGCGAGCCAGTGAGACATCACCCTGAGTTTCTCCCAAGTTAAATGACCTTCAGAAGAGAGACAGCAAATGACTATATGTAATTTTCCTTTGTTTCAAATGCCCTGCCTTGTTCCTTACTGTTTGATGGATTTATAGTGATTGCCATGCGGTGGTACCACGTTTCACTGTGGACTGGCACCCCGGAGAAATGGCCACTAGCTAATACATGGAGGAGAGATACCCAGCAAAGATCACCTGTCAAATTACAGCTTTTCTTGGCTACTGTCTGGAAAAGAGATTCACCTGGAAAAAAGGAGTCCTTCATAAAGGATTTACTGAAGTGTCCCGTGGGTGGGCAGAAACCTGTTTATCATGTAAACATCTCCTGCAGCTGGGGCAGAGCCTGAGCCGCCGGGTGCAAGAGTTAATGTCAACAGCCACAGGCTGGGGGGGAACCTTGAAATAAGACTCCTGCGCCAATAATGTCAAAAGCACCTTTATTTAAATTTCCTCAACCTAGCGTGTCACTGCAGAACTGGAAATACTCACCAGCGCTTCAAGTTTATCCATTAGCATGCAAATGTGAGCAGTTGGCAGTCAACAGTGATTGCTGCATTGAAATCTTTCACTTCTGGGGACCAGAAGGGAGCATGAACTATTTCATATGTGGATGCTTCAACATAAAAAGTGACACTTTTTGTACAAAAACCAACCAAAATCAAATTTACGGACAGAGCATTTCTTGCAACATACCTGAAGAGCCATGCAGGGCAGCAGTGATACTCACCCAAGATGGTTTGGGCTGCAGTCACTTTGCAGTGTCATGCACCACTCTGCAGCTCTGTGGCCCCACATTGGGTCCTATCGGGTGAGAGAAGATGAAGATCTCTGCCACCCATGGTCTGCCAGCAGCCAGAGAAGCACGTGTGGAGCAAACCCAGGGCTTCAGGAGCTCAGGACATCCCACTGGCTGTGCCCAAAGCCCAGGCTTCGCTGTGCCCCGCGGGCAAAGCAGTGCTTCCAAGAGCAGGCTGGGGCTGGGTCCCTGCCAGCAGCAAGGTGCGTGCTTGGTGCTTGGTGCACATGGCCACGTCAGCAGCACCCAGCCAGCAGGCTCATTCTGTGCCAGCCACGCACACCAACGGTGGTTGCCCAACTATCCATGCCACGATGCTGGTCGAGCTGCCCCGGTGAAAGCACCTTGGGCTGATTTCCACAAGCCCTGCCAAGGTGGGTCCTGACAACCCCAGAGCAGCCCAGCTGGAGCCCCAGGGGTCCCACGGAAGCATCACCAGCCCCCGGGTGTCAGGGTGTCTGCTGCCCTTGTCTTCAGCTTCCTCCCTTTGGCAGCCACCCCTCACCTCAACAACCGGCACCCGCTGCACTAAAACATCAGCCTGGCTTAGCAGAGCCAGAGTAACCCTGTGAGCCCAGCATGACCAACAGCGCTCTCACACTTGCAAACGGGCTTAACGCATCTCCGTGCTGATCGCTATCGCTCTGAGCACATGAATTTGAAAGCAAACAGGTTGCACAGAGGCAGCGTTACCCAAGATGTTTATTTGCAAAACAAGTATGTAAAAGGAGGCCCAAATCTTGCACATGAAGTAATTGTGAGAAATGGATGTGCTTGCGGCACAGTGGGAGAACAAGGAAGTTGGATAATGCTTAGTAGTAAAGCATGAATCGCTCCCCAAAAGAGCAAGAGAAAATTGGCAAGGAGGAGACATCAGGCACCCAAGCTGTCCCAATGCAC